CTCACCTGACTGTAAGTGCCTGCAGTGTAGGTACCTCTTGGCATTTGGACCCTCTGGGCAGGTCAAGGAGTCAAGGTTTTACAGCCATGGAGGTGAGACTGTAGGCACTGAGGTGTGTACAGACAATAAAGTCAATGACACCAATATAGGGTTGGATGACTATAGTCCTTTGGCTGCAGCAGGGCACAGGGTGCAGACATTTACTCTGTAGATGTCTGGAGTCATGGGAGTTGAACCCTACCCTCAGAAGTCCACATACCCCACTTCTGGTGGGAGTCACCACTCCTGTGCTCTTCGAGGCACTGAATCCCCCCAGTCCTGGCTGGGACCAGCAAACTGGTGTCATGGGGATTATGCCCATTAAGATGACTTGGGGACTGGGTATGAGCTAACCTGAGTGCCAGAAGCAGTGCAGTCACATGTGCACCTCCCTGCCCATGAAATGCCAGTGGTAGGGGCACTCCCTACCATCCAGCTCAATCAGGAAGCTTTGAAGCCCCTTCCTGTCCCATTTTCCTTACCAGTACCACTGCAGTAGTCACTAATAGGAAACAGGGGTGCCAGTACAGGCACATTCCCTGCCCTTAGCAATACTCACTTCTTGGCTTGCACTGGTTGCTGACTTTTATCCTCAGCTCCCACCAGGATCAGGAAGGCTGGTCTCACTAATCTCAGTGGGCACTGGATCAGACCTAGTGCACATTCTCACACAGCAGCAGTTTCTGGCCCTGGGCTGGTTGCATGTGGAATGGGCAGCACAATTTCAATGTTTTATAAGAATTACTAATGAAAAGCATGGAGGGGTTTAGGGATTTCTTTGCCTGATTTACATTTGCATAAATGACTGAGCATTTTAATAAGTGCAGTGCTAAAGAGTTTCATATAACTTATATCTTGCTCTTTTCCATCCTCGGAAATTTGGGTTGGAAAATGAGATGAAGCTCACTCTCAGGCTGGGTCCCAAGTCCCTTCCTTTGCTGGGAGAACAGACTTAAAGTGTGTGATTTTTAAGCATTAGCAGGTGAGTGGGATCCCTTCTACTGGCTTTGGGGGGCTTTGGATCGGGCCCTGCCTCCCAGGAGGGAAAAATCCAGGGATCCACTCCCCTTCCTTGCCCACCTCCCTGCTTTCTCCCAGGGAAGCGTGCAGGAACTCGCCCTGCCGTTTCTGGCTCCTGTCCCCCCGGGGCTCTCCTGGCTCTCTCCGTCCCTGGGAGGCTGCTGCACTCTCTCTGTTTGCCCTCTCAACTCGAGCTCGGGGAGCGCAGCAGCCAATCGGGCAGCCCGGGTATCCTTCATCAATCTCCCTGAGTGTCTTCGGGCTCGGCTAGGAACATCCACATCACTCCTGTTCTCTCTCTGCAATGACCTGAAGCTCCAGCTCTGCAAGCAGTGATCAGTCAGGCATAATGCAATGCAGGGCAGCCCGGAATAATCTGGTTGGCATCCGAGGATGTATATTCACGGAGAGGCTAAGGAGTGTGTCAGCATTTAGTTTCAGTCTAGCTGCACTTTTCCTGCAGCACAGAGTCACAAAGTCTCCGTCTCCTCCTCTGGATTGGGACTGATTCTGCACTGGGATCCTCTGCAAAGACAAAGTTTTCCTCTCTTGTTATTGCTGTACCACCATAATCTACCAAGATGTGTGACTGCTTTCATCTAGTTCTTCCTAACTGGCCAGGATCTCCAGCCAGTGGTGGGCTTACATTTTCTATACTTTTCTGTATTCTGCTTCTGCTTTTCTGTGCTCTGCTAGCTGCGAATCAACCGCCGAGGCAAACCCTGCAGCTTCTAGGGTGTGGCTTTCTCTGATGCTGCATGAATCAGATAAGGAAAAATAGTGTTAAGAAAAGCCTCCTCTAAACTTTCCTCGGTGCCTACATTATGTTGAAGCTAAGCTTGGGGAAGCCTTTGACTTTGTATACAAATTAAATTCAATTGTGTCTAAATTAACTGTTTCAGATTGCATGCCTTAATTCACATGCTTGCCCTTCATTTCTCATAGTGATTAGGAAGTGACTGGCAGGATATGGTGCATGATATAATCTACCTGGCATTTACAATAGCTAAAAGCTGTGCTGCATAGTGTGTGTTTGCAAATTCAACGTGTCCGATGTTCTGTATTCAATCTGTTGGCTGAACAATACAGCACTCTGGAAGAAGGTTTTTTTTTTCTTTGTGTTTCCCTACTGCAGAGCAGAAGGAAATTAGAAACCTAACCCCTCTTTTAAAGGGGAAAATATATACATTCAAATGTAAAATATTGCTGAAACAGAACAGTGATGATTGCAGGAATGAGTCAAGAGAGTAATGAAAACCAGTTCTTAGCTGGCAGAAGCATATAAATAAATTAAAAATCTGTTCCTTAGTTTATGCACAGATTATCCTGTTTTAAAATAAGCAACTAGAAGTCTTAAGGTTGTGTCTGCAAAAATGCCAAGAATCTGAAATTGCTACAGTACCTTTTTTTTTTTTTTTCCTAAAACATACCAAATCTATGTTTATTTACATTCTGCAATAAATTTGCTCACTATTTATTCTGGTTGAAGAAGTTTTTATCTACAAAATTCAGTGTGTAAACATTTTGATAGACTAAAAGTGGAGAGTATTTTTTTAAATATGTCTGATTACTTCTGCTTTTCTGTAGTAAATAATTTAGGATTATATTTTCCACAACAATGGAAAGTCATAGATTGCTTGCCAGACTCCCAGTAGACAAAGTAGCATCTTGCTGCTTGAATTGCCTTGTTGACTTGAAGGAGCCAACTCAAGGAATAAGTCATTTCTCTCCACCCATCGAAAAGATACAACACAATCCTCTGCTGCTTACCTGGTGTTTAGATTAGGTAATTGAATTGATGCAAGATCATAGCAAATATTTTACTGCTACGCCCAGACAGTAATTTCATTTGATTTTCTCAAAATATACTCAATGTAAGTTTTGGGGGAAAGATTTTCTTTCAGCTTCATTTTCCTATTGATTCTCTGCCTGCACAGGTTTATTTATTTAGGAAATAAATTAGTTTAATGGGTTTTGCTATATTCCACATCAGAGACGTGTTGTTGGGACTTCTAGGTGCTACCTGATAGAAACAAATACAAACGTAACACTAGCAGAGCGCTCCACATCGCCACCCTCCAGGCTTTCCCCAGCAATTAGCAAAAAGGTTTGGGTATTTGTTGCTCAGGAAACGTCATGCTCCCATGCCACGAACACGGGTTGGCATCTCTCCGGTACCAGTTTTCCAGCGGTGTGAAAAGATGCTGTGGTGGGTCACGGGCAAGGGGAGCATCCCGGTGGCCGTTGAGGGCCAGGCTGGGAAGGGAGGCAGCAGGGAAAGCCGGTTGCATGCGAAACTTGACAGGCATCTGTTTTCCAAACAGTTATTGCTGATATTTCTTGCCAGCGGGTTATCATCCTCAGAGGTCAGGGTGCGGCAGGGAAAAGCAGGTCTGTTTTTCTCAGACAGGTAGGCTGGCTGGCTGCCTGGAGCATGTGATGTGTGTTTGGGAAAGCCTGCCAAGTCCAGGAGAAAGGCAGAAGGGGTTTTAGCCTGGCGATGAGGCAGGCTCATCTGAAAAAGGGTGGGGAAACCCACAGAGTGAATCCCACATCAAGAAGCGCATATTAAATCCCTTGTTTCCTCTGCAGCATGGAAGGGAAGCTTGTTAAAAATAGGCTCATTTCATAAGCTGGCTATGTTCATCTGCCCTTGCTTTAGCTGACTGTCATGATAATACAGGTGGGAAACAGATAAACAAAAATTTGCTAGTTTTCCTTATTAACCGGGCAAGCACAAGCTTGCACTCAGACCTGACATCTGGAGGATGCCGGGAGCATTTTGCAGTTGTTGATGAACACCGAGACAATGTTTTCCATGGATAACTTTTGAGTCAGAACAACAAATAAGTAGAAGAAAGTGTCTGCATCAGCAAACTGTGGCAATTGGCCAAACGCTAAAATATAAAGGTCTTTCTAGCACAAACATTTTCTACGCTTGCATTTTATCTTGTTTGGGGCTTGGCCTGAACTCCCAGAAAGTGATGACACTCTTTAAAAGACTCAGCTCAGTGAGACACTTGAGGAGGTTTGTACGGCCTCCTGATGGCCCCCTGATGGCCACAGGACTGGAGCATGGGGTCAAAACAAGATACGTACTTTTGGAGTTTGCTGAATTGGCATTTGGACCATAAAGTTGCTGCTTCTCAGGTGCCAGATTCATTTTTGCACTGTGTGAGAACAGCACATGAGCACTCATGATATGGGTCAGGGCTGTGAAAATCCATGGGCAGGACGCCGTTGCAAGCTGAGACATTCAGAAAACATTAACAGCTCGAATAAATCCCTTCTTCTCTGCTATTATATCTGTGATGCTAAAGGCACTTTGAGGGCTGGGTGTCCATTCTGTTTTAAGAGCTGCTGAATGCGGCACACAGATTTAAAGGACCCAAAGCAAAATGCCAGCGGAGCTGCATTTTTTCTTAGAAATTTTCTCAAGATATTTGTCTACGAGCTGCAACAGCGTCTACTCCAGCCCCATTAAATGAGAGAGATAAACAACACCTGCAGGAGCCAGGCTCCCAACGTGGGCAAGGAGCAACCTCCCTGGCTCTCAGGAGAGGCTCTGACCTGACATCCCACCCTAATTGATTTTCCCTATTTTTTCACTTATTTCACCAGTGTAATGTTAGAATGACTCAGGCCATTTCAGTTTCAGGGCACACGTCAGAGTGTCTAAACACACTGTCTGTCTAAAAAAGCTTCCCAAATGTAAGCTCCTTCTATCCATGGTGACACCAAAATAACTGCGGTGCCAGCAGAGGCTGAAAGAGGATCTGATTCACTTGGCTCTGGCGGAGAGCTCCCTGCCAGCACGGTGAATCAGGCGCAGTAAATTGCATCCCTCTGGCTTCTCTCTGTTCTCCGTCCCTAGAGCCATCTCACGAGTTTTTATTTCTGGTTATTAAATTCGCACTTCTCTGTCCAATGGGTGCGCACCGGCTCTTTTGGTGACACAGAAGCACCAAGTGGAAAAGAAACATCAGCGTGACAGAGTCCCACAGGGAACAAGGCTCTCTTTGTCCATCCACAGGGCAATAAACCGTGCTGCTGTTCTCCATTGAACAGCGAGGAATGGGGATGGTATGTACCCGATAGAGGCACAGCACGTTGTGTTTGCCACCGCTTCTGATTCACGAGAGGAACGGACATGCCCTGGGAGCAAACCAAAACCGGCTGAAAACCACGATTTTTCTTGACTGGTGCATTTCAAAACTACAAGGAAGAGGCAGAGGATTGGCAGAGGTCTCTTCTGCAGGACCCTTGTTATTGTGTGAGAGGTGGAGGAATGTGAAGCAGAGGCCAGAGGAAGCCCCCTGCCAGCTCTTGCTGCTTGCTCTGGTGGGGGCTGTTGATGCTGAGGATAAATGACACCCTCGGTTCGATGTGAGGACTCACTGCCAAGACAAACAGCCAACAAACAGCCGGGATGCGCTTGTCCATGCAAAGGAGTGGCTGCAGAAGAAGCCTGGATACCGTGTCCCATTGTCCCCATCAACACCCCATCCCCACCACAGTCACCTCTGGTAGCCTGAATCCCTAGGATGCTCGGGGCTGTGATATTTAGTGATGTGGTATGCCCATGGGATTTTGGCTGGCAGTGAGGTTGCCAGAGGGCTATTTTCACCCTGCTCCCACATAGTGCACACCTTTGGAGATGAGGTGGTGTTGAGGAGGGGCAGAGGAGGGGGGAGCTCTCAGTGTTGCTGCCACAGAAAAGGCACCTGGAGCTGTTTCCCCTTACAAGGGAGCTTCCTCCACCCTGTTCAACCCACTCTGGAGTCTATTCATTCTGGAAAACGATCACCACCAATCTGTCAAATACCAAAGGAATAGCCATGTCTCAAGGTTACATCCATGTCTTTACATCAGCACAGGCAATTACATAACTTTACTTGGTTACAAGATACAGATGAATTTTAAAATGCCTTCAAGATCCTCATTTTTCTAGGCTTAACCCTATGGGCTTACTAAGTAGTAGCATCTACGGACCAAAACTTACTGGCATAACATCTTCATTGTATGTTGAAGCATTTTTGGGGCCATAAAGGTTGCACAAGTGTAGCCTTTCGTTCCTGTTTCTCCATCAGTTTGTTCCTCTACAAACTCTGCTAGTCCATGTGCCGGCACAGAGCCTCGTCGTGTGGACAGCAGCCAGGTCTGAGGTTAGAGTAATTAGTCCTGGCTGTGCTTGCAGGGTTTTCTTTAGTACAATTGCACCATCAGATTTCTATCTGTGTGAGTTCCTCTGCCAGAACAGGCTGGAAAAAAAAAAAAAAAAAGTGTCCAGTTGGTAAAATTATTGTGGGTGAAATATTAGTAAATTTATGCTGGCAAGGTCATTGTAAATTATAGCGTGTGCTCAATGCTGCACTCATAGAATATGTAAAAGAAAAGACACAAACTGCTTCACCTCCCCTTCACCACCACAGAGCTTTCCATCTCACCTCAACATGGAATTTTTCTTACGAAATGCACAGGTGGGACGGACCACTGGATGAGTTCACTGTGAGAGCCCACCTAGGCACCAAAAAGAAATAAAGAGAACAGCCTTATATGCTTCACCATTTTCATAGGGCACAGAAGGTAGATGCACTGTATAACCTAGGATTTTTTTCCAAACTCATTCTCTATTCTTTTTTTAAAGTTCGTGACATGCAGCACGAAGCAGCATGCCTTAACGTCCTGCAGAAGACGTGCTGTGGATGTGCATGAATACAGAACAGGCCAGGTTCCCTACACGTTTGTTTTCAAAGTCTGGTCACACAGAAGCAGCACTCATATTGGACTGATGATCAACGTCAGGAACTCCCATTGAGACTCAGCACTAGCATGAAAGGGGTGAAACCACTCCACACTCTTGGGATATTGCAAATTTTGCTGCCACTACTTGGGAGAGGAAATGTGAGAGCCCTCAGTGAAGCCAATGCTACTACATGGGGTGGTTTGCCCCAGAAATTCTCTTTTGAGAGTAGAGTTTCTGTTTCGTAAAGGTCTCTACTGCCACTATTTAACATAATAACAAGAAAAGATTCTTCTAATGACCCAAAATTCAATACAGCTTATCTTTTTTTTTCTGTATTACATAGAGAAAATTTAGCATTTCTGTGGAACCCATTTTCCCAGGGGATCAATGTTCTGGCAGCACAGAGACAAGATATGGGGACTGTTCTGCTGACTCCTATTGCTGACTGTGAGTTAATATAATCGATGGGGGACTTCACCACAAAGCAAGGCTGGACCCTTGATATGTGCCTTTGAGAACATTGCTGCCTTCTTAGTGCCTCACCCTGAAAATGAATACCCTCCTCTTTATTGGGCTCCTATATTTAATTAATGGCTGTAAAGTATCTGGAGATGGTAGAAGTAGGGACGTTGTGCAAGTCTGATGATTCATATCATCATTCCCAGGCTACAGACTCTCTTTGATATTAGGAACAACAGCAAGAAAGATGCTGACGGTGGTGGCATTGGTTTTGGCTCCAGCTGCTGGAATGTATACTCATCCCCTATCTTACAATCCCAATTACACCTGCAGATTTACTCCAGATTCACGCTAGCATAACTGGAAGAGGTAGTTGGGCCACAAAAAGCCTTAGTACATTTAGAATAAAGCAATGATTAGGAAAACAAAAAGGACCAGAACAGGATGTATGGAAAAAGGTGAAGAAGGTGAGACTGAGCAGCCAAGTGTGAAGGAGCTGGAACCCAAGCTGTTCTAAAATACAGAGCAATTGGGGATCTGGATCAACGTTCAGAGTTTCTGAGCCTTCAGCAGCAGCTGTCTGTATTACAGAGAAAGGCCAGGAATCCTAATGAGAAGAAAGAAGCAGGGTTGGGCTCCAGTCCCTACACAGATGAGGAGGAGCAGGAAAAAATATGGGACTTGGAGTGCTGCACAGGTCCCGCATCACCACAAAGGCAGCAGTAGCATTAAAGGGAGGAGGACAAAAACATCCTAGAAAAGCTTTTCCATGAAAAATCATGAAATTATATGTCAAGCAACCTATAAAACATCTCAGGAGGAAGCTAAATAACAGGATTTTTCTTGTCATCCTCCCTTCCTCCTTGTGTCCGCTCTTACTCCAGAGTGACCTTACTGAAACAGCACAAGAGCAGCTGGACTCCACCTAACTCAGCCTAAGGATAACTCACCTCCCCTCTACACTGTTCCCATTTCTTTGTTCAACCTGTGCCGTGCTTGTCTCATACACTCTAATCCCTGCCCTGTCCCAAAGTGGGAGTGAGTAGAGGAAGGATAAATGCCAACCTGTTCCTCGATGAGCAGAACATGCCCGGTGGGAGGGTGAACACGGCGCCTTTGCCTGCTCACTGGACTTGGCGAGCAGAGGAAAAGCTGTCACTTGCATGTCACTGCCCTGATTTCCAAAGGGGAAGAAGTTGTAAAGGAGAATCTGATCCTCGCCATCACCAGCCCTGCAATATAACTGAACTTTAGCAGAATATTTGCTGGGTTATGTAATAGAGATGGATTACAACAGCCTGCCACATGGTCGAAAACTGCAGTTTTAACCCCCGGACAGACTGCACTGTGATAGGTAAAGATAAGCAAGTGATGGGGATATGAGAATAGTCCAGCTCACTCAGACCTCTAAAACACATCTTGGAGGTCCATCTGATGGGACTGCTCCAAATATCCAAGGCCACTTTTCTTTCTGACCTACCTCCTTGTGCACGACCTTTCTGTCTTTCTCCTCACCTCTCCTCCCCAGCTGTCCCAGGGGGGTTCCTCCCGTTCCCCATATGCCTCCTTCTCAGGCTTCCCACCCTTCCTGGCTGCTGAGGACCCCCTGGAGGCATTCCCTTGTCTGCAGTGTCATCCTCCCTTTGTGCCCTTGCCATCCCTCCTTCAATTGCAGGTGTGGTTAAGAAGTTTCCTCAATTCAGAGAACAAAAATGTGGTAGTGTGGGCTGCAGGGCACTGCAAGACCGAGGCACCAGCCCTACTCTGGTCGTTAACCCCAAACCACCACGTCTTCCCTACTGCTGCTTTCAGGTTCATCACTGTGGGGATGAACCCATCACCCTCAGCGGGGACAGGCAGAGTGGCACCTTCCCTGTCCAGCACAGCCGTACAGAAGCCTCCCTACATCTGGCCGGCTGTTGTTTAGGCACTGCTTAAAAACAGGAGAAGCTGAGCATTGGAGCTAATTAAGCGAGGCAGGGAGACACAAGGAATGTTTTGAACAGAAGAGAAAACAAACAAAGCCCTGGCGAGGGCTCAAAGGCAAGGCGGGCTGGCTGCTGTTTGCCGCCCGGCATGCGGAGAAGCTCACGAAGGCTTGCAGGAACGCGGGCAAAGGGAGTTGGCTTTGGGAAGCCCTGGCCACGAGCGGCTCACATGATGCGAGGCGGGGTTTGGGGCCAAATCCGCCCCACCCCGGGGACCGGGGCCCATGAATGACCCGAAGCACCTCATTCATCACGGCGGGGACGGCTGTCAGCGGGGAGACGGGGACGGAGAGCTGCCCGTGGCACCCAGGTAGGCGCTGGCTTTTCTCCTCACCATCACACAGGGCTCCAGTGACCTCCTTGCTCCTCTGAGCACACGCTGCATCCAGCGCTTCCACCTGTGCCTTACATCTCTTCGCTTTCGTTTCCCCCAGCTGCCGGGGCTGGATGCGTGCTAGGATGATAAGCTGGGTTTATTTTCCTTCTCCTGCCACTGCTGTTATGACAAACGGCAGAAAGTCGGATCCCCCCCCATCCTGACAGAGCAACCTACGTGCTGCTGTGGCATGTATGTTTGCTTTCTTCACAAGCGCCTGCAAAATAGAGAGTGGCAAGGAGCTTCTTGAAATGGTTATGAATCTTAACTGGCACCCACCCAGGCCCCCAGATGGGAGAAGAGGAGCTTTTTCTAAGCCCTTCCCACATTCTTGTGCAAATAGAAGGGATGAATGATCACCAGCCCCAATGCCAGACAGTTTTCTGGGCCAAATTCACACACGAGTAGAAGGAAGCCAAGGGGAACTGAAACTGGTGTAGCTCTCCCTTCCTTCCGCTCATCACGATGACCATATTTCATATGCTCAGATCCTTCTGGGATTGCTTAGACTGACTGTGTAATTATTTTCATCCTTGGATTAAGCAGGCCAAATATGTAAGCTGGATCGCAGCTCGCTGAGATCTTATTTTACACCATATTTTGTCCCTCTGGCATATACATTACACAGCAGCAGATTGGATTTAAGTAGTTTTTTTCAGAATAAAAGTCTGTCCTTGCTTGAGGGTGTCAATTCACCAGTAGTTTGTGCTGCTCGTCATGTATGGGTACTTCAAAAGACCATGGAAAAGCCCTAATCCAGGCATCTGCCCGCGCTGGCTCTCAGCACACAGCCCGGCACCCTCCAGGCTTGGAGCACACACAGCTCGCACAGCCTGCAGGTTACAGGAAAGGCGTGACTTGGTGTATAAACTTGTAAGTGCAAATAAGACTTGTAAGTGCAACCTCATTCCTGCTAGCTGCACTCCGTCCTTCACTGCTTGTGACCGCTGATGAGCAGAGCTTTACACTTCACGTGTGAGCCTAAACCTGGGGGACATCTCTATTCTCGAGTTAAATTGAAACAATGCTGATTTAAACTAAAGATAAAAGGATACAAAGGCTGTGGGATCCCCAGAAAGGAGAAAAGGGTTCAAAACCAGCTTCTATCTGCCTTGTCAGATGTGTAGGTACAGGAGAAGAGGTGGACTTTCAGTGGATCATGCTATGGACAGTCCTGCAGCCTGGAGTCACACACTATTTACGCATTATGAAATGCATGACATGTTCCATCTGCCACAGGGTCAGGGTTAACAGGTGCAGTCAAAATTAGCTATATTTTTGATGTGCACCACCTTGCTTTCTACTGGCAGAGTGCCACCTAAAAGCTGAAAGCTCCCATGGCTGAAAATTATTTGCTGAGCAGCTTTGATGAGCAGCCAGAGATTTCCACGCTTTCCAGGGAAATAACACTAGTTTTGATAGCTCCAGCTGTGACTCCTCTCTACTTTGGTCTGTCTTAATTTGTGCTATGAGCACTCATGGTCAAAACTGGAATTGCGTTGTTTGACCATGTGAGATTTTACAGACCAATTTCTATACTTACTATTAATACATGTTCAAAATCTTCATCCAGGCTCTTCCCCAGGAAGTTGTGCACTAGACAATTTGTGAAAATGTCAGTGTGGCGGGCAGAAAATGCATGAGGGGCAAATCTTAGCCATACACCTAGGAGGACTAATTCCCAAGAGACCCAGCTCTCCTCGACTTCTTCCCTCCTTGTTCCACATGATAAATTCCAGCTTCTTCTGCACTCCAAGGGCTCAGGAGGTTTCCACCTTGCTCCTCATTCAATCCAGGTGAAGATATTCTCTTCTCAGCCAATCTTTATCTAGGTCCCACCTGTATCTTCACCTCATCTCTCCAGCAGCTATTGCAGAGATGTCTGCCCTGGCTTTTGTCCACTGTCTCCTCTCTCCAGCTCTGCAATCTGCAGGATTGTTCCCAAGCAGGGGCTGACTTGCTGCCAACCCATTCTGCCCCAGGAGATGGGTGTTTGCAGGGACATGTTCTGGCCAGAATCAGAGAATTTTTAAATGGGAAAAAAAAAAAAAAGAGAGAAAAAAGAAACAGGACCATTGCACTAAGGAAGGTAGGTAAGGGAATCTTACAGTGGCTGGGAAGGAAAGGCTGCATCAGACTGCTGTGTATCACGGTGCTGTTATCAGGATGCACGCACTCCAGCAGTGTTACCATCACTACTCTTCCTGCTCTGCCTGTTGCCTGGTCAGTTTGTTTTTTATAAAATGTCTGTTTCTTACAATTCATGGATTGTTTGGCTGTTAAGGCTCTAGGTAACTTCTGGCAGGGTGACTTTTCCCTTTTTGCATATCACTGGGTGATGACAGTGGGCCTATGCTGCAGATTCCCAAACCTGTTCTGCTTTGTAGACACCCCAAGGGCTGTTCTGCAGTGCTGCTCTGCTGTAACTTGTTCTGTCGCTAGAAGTCAAAAGCTCCCCTGGATTAAAAAAAATGTAAACTAAAAAAAAGAGAGATTAACGCTGTACCTGAATCTAATCTCTTTTCCAAGCTGCCTTGTAAGATCTCCTGAAGGCTTCTCTTCCATGCAGTTGCCCAAGACCATTTCAACCATGCTGTTGCTCCTCCATCTCACAGCCCTTGGTCCCCCTCCCTCCAAGTTTACAGAAAAGTTGGGTGGGTGCAACAAAGTGCAAATAAATCTTCGAAGCTGTCAGTGGCACCTCCTTCCTTCAAATCAGTGTAGAGTTAAATCTGCAGCTCTGCCGATTTTTAGGCATTTGTGAGACTGTAAATAAAACACTGTTCAAACTTGTCTGCCCTATCCACGGTTGCCTGGATTTGCTGATTTTGCACTGGGCTCCTGCTCCTGTTTAACAGTGAATTGACTGCTCTGTCTCCTATCTTCCTGGATAGCATGACTCACATTAGGAACCTCCTCATGGGTTTCTAATAACCTGATTATAGAGCGTACACATGCAGCATCTTTTTGATGGTCTCTGAGCTTGCAAGATGTGGCTAGATTTTCACAGAGACCACACATGATATGATAATAAAGCTGGCTAATTGGGCATTCGGGATGTTTCACTCCTTCAGTCCTTGCCAGTTCTGAATTTTCAGGTAGTTGACTTCCCATTGCCTCCAAAGGCTTCTGGGGAGAAGATCCCTCTGCCATCAGGGAGGGCTGAAGGGCACGAGGGAACAGAGCAGGAGGACCAAGTCTCACGGAGGCTCTATGTGCTGTTTGTACTCGTGCATTTTTCAGGACTGAGAGGGAGACAAATGTTGCTGTGAATGAGCTAAATTATTAGCCCCTGATGCAGGACTTACTTCAACAGCACCACCGACCTACACCCAGTGAGGCCCATTTTCCACACAGCATGAATCACTCACTCGTTTTTTTGTGCTCACTAGTTTCGCATTTTAATTTTCCATTCCTCTGGCTTTCCTCATGCGGATGAATAATGGACCATTTATAATACATTAACAATATCAGAGCATACGATTATGGCTTCAGTCAGCGTAATCCCTTCAGACGGCTCGCAGAGCAGGAACACACTTCTTTTGTCGGGGCAGATAAAACACCGTGTCGTGCGAAGCCACATCCTATTTCCACCCAGCCAGCAGAAGGGGATGCCAGCCTGGCAGCTTGTCCCCTCTGCCACTCGAAATAGCTCTCAGGAGCTGAGTCATGAAGCAGAGCCCAGAATAACGGGTGATTTCGTGAACCGAGGGACAATCATCAGCTGTGCTAACAATTACAGATGGAAATGGGCTTCAGGCAGCAGTTTATCACCAGGCGCCGAGCCCTTCTACTGCTGTAAGTAAATGCCTGGGTAAACTTTCGTCGGATCCAAATAAATAAGGCAGCATCACTGAGCTCTGTTGTGCTGTGTGAGGGGCTG